GTCCGTCCTCTTCACGGTCGTCCCATTCATCGCCTCCGGCGTCTGCCATCACCGCCGCGTATAGGGCGCTGAACTCCTCGGCGTCCCCGTGAGCGTCAATCTTCGCGACCATCACCTGCAGCTTCTTCTCCGGCACGCGAATCCCGAGATTCTCTAACGACTCGTTAAGCTCATCCGGGGTGATGTTGTTGTCGCAATTAATCGAGCTTGGAGAAGACCCGATGGAGCTCCGTCGTGCCCGTCTCCTCATATGCAGCCCTAATGCGAGAATTGGTTGGATGGTCATTTAAGTTTTCAGCCAGCAAGTTTGGGAGAGATAGGCGAGAATTATTGAATTGATTTTGATCGGTGAGGTTATAAAGTTTCCACCCTATGACAATAATTCATTGGAAGATATTTTTGGATAATCTCCAATGTAAGCAAAACTAAATATGCTGGAAGATATTTTAAATAATTTGGGATATACATACTAAAATAAATTTATTATAGTCAATAGTTTCTTTAAACATAGTTTTGATTGAAAATTTGCAAAATATGTTTGAGCAGGCTTTTCAAAAAATTTCGAAAAAAAATTACTTAATTTAGTAATTCTGAAATTTTTAGGCGGGAAAATATTTACTTTTTTAAGTAAATGTCAAACCTTTTTATATTTATATAGATATAGATTTACAATTCAATAGTTAATTGAAGGAAACAAATCAAAGTCAGAGATATATTAGTCACTTAGTGCCTCACTATGTAAAATTACAAATAACTAAAGGGTTACATTAGTACAAGTGATATTAAAATACCTAAGTTAGATAAATAATATTTATGGAATGTCCAAATCTAGATTATTAATTATTAATATATTAATATTATTTGTCCAAACCTAATTACGAAATATGATTCTTCGCCGAGTAGGATTCCGAAGCACCAGAAGCAGCCACATAAACTTAGCGCTTTGGAGAATTATATATATGAAGGATATTCACACCTTTTATCTTTGGAGTTTTATCAATACAAGACCCGAAAGATGGGTAAACTATCAATGCGGGGCCTGAAAGATTTTTTTTCTCAATTCATGACTTAAATGTTATAAAACTATCAAATTAAAGACCCAATAGATAGATAACTATCAATGCGGGGTCTGAAAGATTTTTTTTTTCTCACTTTGGGACTTAAATGTTATAAAACTATAAAATTAAGTCTAGAATTATAAAAACTCATAACACCATTAAATTTAGATTTTAAAAATAATAAAAGATAGATGTTTACTCACAATAAATAATAACTAAACATTTGCATAATATTAAAAAAGAAAAGAAAAGAAATGGACGATAGCAAAAAAGCTGAGCAAGAGCTTCATACGTTACTTAATTTTCTCCAACAATTTCCTATTTTCCTTAATTTTCTTCATTTTTCTTTTTTTTTTTATTTTTCTTTTTTTTTTTACTTTGTAACAAATTTGGTGTTTTAAAACTTCATATTATCTCTAAATTTAATGGTGTTATGAGTTTTGTTAATTCTAGACTTAATTTGATATTTTTATAACATTTAAATCCAGAATTGAGAAAAAAATTTTTCAGACCCCGTATTGATAATTTACCCATCTTTTGGGTCTTTAATTTGATAATTTTATAACATTTAAGTCCCGAATTGAGAAGAAAAATTTTCCAAACCTCGCATTCATAGTTTACTGAATCTTGTATTGATAAAACTCATTTATAACTATAAACGCTTTTTGCGAAAGATGACAAATAAAATGACAGTGACATCAAATTATCCATGATTATACTTTCTCACATGAAAATTCGCGTAGTAGAGTTTCAATTTCATTATGCATCACCCGACCCGACCCGACCCGACCCGATATGCCGCCACCATACCAATTCGAGGGCTCTGCGGGCCCCATGCCGCGAAATCCAACCTCCTGAGAACGCTACGTGTCGACATCCCATTGGGCGGAGGAGAATGGTCTTGATTAATGCCTTTTCACGTGTCAGAAATAATTATTTTATGGTCCCTTCAAATGTTTCGTAAAGGTGCAGTATGCTGTTATTTCCCAATCTACCCTTCGCTAAATATTACCCTGTATTCCCATAACATAAATATGTTTATATTTGTACTACATTTATGTTTTGATAATACCTTAATATCAATATATATTTTGTATTTAAATATTGATATTATACATTCTATTGATAAAATTTTATGTCATATTGGTATATTGAATTATATAAAGTAACTATTAACTAATTGAATATTCAACAGTTCAAATCGTATATATGCATATTTAATTTGAATTCGTAAATTACAAATTAATAGTTTTCTTCTTCAAAATTGCATTAGAAATTTGCAAATACAAATCATCGAACACTGAATTTTGTTCAACAGCCCACATCATCACCACCACAAACAACCCACATCAATCAGCTCAACCATTCTCCTTCTAAACCGTAACAGTAATAATGTTTATCCTCTCGCAAAAAAAAAGGAGAAAAAAATCAATCACCCCAACGTATGCCCTATAAACCCGACGACGAGGAGTTGCCCGACGGCGACGAGACGGAAATAAAGAGAGAGAGAGAGAGAGAGAGAGAGAGAGAGAAGCGACGACGGTTTCATGCTTCGTGTTCGTCGACTGCAAGTGCCGCCCTTCCATCCAGCTGCTGGAAATTTTCCTCATTCATCATCGATAACAAAATCAAACGCATGAGATTCATTTTCCGATAACTTTGAGCTCAATTGTTTAGAAATATGTGGGAAATATATTATCTATTGAGGGTTTTGTAGCACTTGTGTATTTTGTAGTTGGTATTGACTGCTTGAACACATAACTTGAGTTTGTACCAAAAAAACTACATATTTTGAATGTATGATGTATTTTGACAAGAAGTCTATTTTACTAAAATGTCTTACTCATGCTTATAATGATAACAAGTTAAATGTAAGCGACAAAATTGAGCCGCCCGTGACGGGGAGAGTCTGCTAGTAAGAGAATAGATGTAATACATTTATATAAATATGTTATATACTTTTAACATATTTTTAAAATATCAATATATTTTTGCATTTTAAATATAGTCATATATATATCTCATACAAATAAAATTATATCTCTTATAGTCTTGTAATAGACTTCACATGTATGTAGGATCACTTCACTCTCTAATGCCTCGAAAGGAAGCATGTCCCAAACATGACACACATATGCATTACATAACCGATCAAAATAACATCGTGTACTAGTAACACGGTCGTTGACACTTGAAACACAATCAACCTTTTAGAAAAAACTCTATCACAGTTTTAGAATGAAAAAAAAAACGTAATAACAGAAAGATAAGTCAAGTTTTCAGATCATCATGGACTATCCTTCATCATGCTCCCGCCGGTACAACTGCCCCTGCTCGTGGTCTTGGCAGCTCTAGCTTGGGCCTGAGCTTTTGCCTTTATTTTTTTCGCTCTTTTTTTCGTCGAGTTGGATTTCATTTCATCCTTCTTGTCCCTTCCAACCTGTGCTTGCTCATCAGCGCGCCGTGCTTCTTCTTTTCCAATTGATCTGAATATCTTCATGCATTTCTCTCAGTGCTTCACAACCTCGTCTCCTTTTAGATTTTTCAAAGTCAAATTGTATTTGGTGTGCACCAAATGCAATTTACAACAATTTGACTTTGAAAAATCCAAAAGGAGATGAGGCAGTGAAGCACTGGGAGAAATGCATGAAGATATTCAGATCGATCGGAAAAGAAAAAGCACGGCGCGAGGATGAACAAGATCATGCTGAAAGGGACAAGAATGATGGAATGAAATCAAACCCAACGACAGAAAAAGCGAAAAAAACTAAAGGCAAAAGCTAGAGCTGCCAAGGTCACGGGCAGGGGCAGCCGAACACCGGCGGGAACATGGTGAATTGGTCCATGATGATCTGGTGCATGATGACTTTAAGACTTGACTTACCTTTCTGTTATTTCGTTTTTTTTTTTTCATTCCAAAACCGTGATAGAGTTTTTTTCTAAAAGGGTGACTGTGTTTCAAGTCGACGACCGCGTTTGGGTTACTAGTACACGACGTTATTTTTATCGGTTATGTGCATGCATATGTGTGTGATGTTTGGGACATGCTTCCTTTCAAGACATTAGAGAAAGTGAAATGATCCTACATAGATGTGAAGTCTATTAGAGACTATGAGCTGCTTTGAGAAAGGTGGATATCTGGAGTGCTTGTAAGGATGAGACATTAAAAAATACACTTTATTTCTGTAGTGGATGGTTTTAGAGGTACTTGGGTTTTCCTTATGGCTCATAAATCACGGGCTGGGAAAATTATTGAGATCTTTTGTTACTATGGCAAACACACAGTATGATTGTAGATTAAAGAGGGTAAAATCAGACAATGGACACGAATTTCTGGGAGGAAAGCTACATATTTTTTTTTTATTTTTTTTTTAAGGAGAAAGTGATACTGCATGAACATGTGAGCAAGTATACTACATATATGAGTGAAAAAACCTTAACTTCACGTAAATCCATTCAAAACAAAAACCATAATTTCCGAAAACTTACAGGCTTAATCACACAGCCAAAGTGGGGTCATCTCCAACAACTGCGCTCAGACTCTACTTTACGGATCACGGACTGCTACCTGTTTAGGTTCACTACAAGATGTAAGACTCGTGAATTTCAGCAGATTATTAAATTTCAAAAGAAGAAATTATTTTGTTAGATGCTTATTTACGTACAATATGTCGTCTTTCTCAAAACCAGGCCTATGTATATTCTGGAGACAAGAGAGAATGTGCAGCATTTCTGGTAAACATGGACGCGACAGAAGAATTGCAAACGTCCAATTAGAAAACCAGATGTATCAACTCCCTCCTAAGTCGATCAACATTTTTCCAGACTGCAACAATGCGGTGTTTTGCCAGATCAGCATTATTAACTGTTCGTAAAAAAATTCATAATTGCTAAAATAATCCATGAGTTTTATCCCAGTTATAAAAACAAATGAACAAATAAAACATATTTTAATTTCTAGTAGTTAAATATTTTAATTAGATTTTGTGTTTCAGAATGAACAACACTTCAAATAAACAAAGGGAAAAGGCTAAACCTCAAGGTTAACAACAAATAAAACCTTTATATATTTGATTATCTCAAACAGGTAAGCACCCAAAGTAATACAAGAACAAGCAACCAGCTGTGTGATGCTGGACTCACTAGAAAGATTGGAAAAATATAATGAAACTATTCCAATATTCAAGGATATCTCTCTGAGGTCGGATTTGTTGCTAGAACATATGAG